TTCAGGTGAAGAAGAACGTTGTGTTTTCTTTTTTCTTTTTTTCAGCATGGAATAAACCTGTTGTTTGTTCCTTTGATAATAGCACATGTGTGTCTGAGTGAAGGGATTTACACAATCCTACTGTAGGGAACTATACCAGCCCATTGTGCTTTAACATTGGATTTCACGTGAAACTTTTATTATTTCTGCAATGTTTAAAATTTTGTTTGGCATCACAAATGTTTACCATGCCTTAATTTAATGTTGCATTTCTATTTCCATAATTATGAATGATACATGTAATAGTCTCTTTTGTAAATTGTACTTACCTTTGCTCACCTGAGACATTTTTGTGCTATGTTTGTGTGGGCTTGCTTACTAAGCCTTTGGTTTTCTTACTTACTATCCTTATCACTTGCTGTATGTTGAGGTAAACTCTTGAAAATATTTGATACTAAATTAAACACTTTTTAGAAGAGTCTCAAGTCATTCATTAAGTACATAACTGGAGCTGTGCAGACAGTATATGAGCAATTTCTCTGCCTAAATCACATTTTGTGAGTTTTCTTTTCTGCTGTAATTGAAAGGAGAAAGGCCTTGTTTCCTTAATACCATTACTTCCATGCAGCAGAGTTCCCCAAATATTCTTCAGTGTTATCACTTTTGTATGGCACAAGCAACACTGTGTGTTTTAAGCATTCAAATGGAAAATAGCGGCACTCATTTATTTCTACATCAGTTATGGTATAAATTAATGTTTTGTGACATTTGAATACAGACAGTTTATCCTAGGCAGATTTGTTGCACTCATGCATCTATCATGTTACTTACTTGTAATTACCTCTCAAGTGTTTGTCTCAAAGTGGGCATGGCACTGGAAAATCCACAAATATCTTGAATGTAACAGTAACAGAATTATTCAATTGCATGTCCAAATTTTGTTTTGATCTTTTAAAATCAAAGCAAATTAACAGTGATAGTGGCTGTTTCAAAAAGGCTTTTAAAAATTACACACTGTAAAAACACAATTTAATTTTAAACCTGTTATTCCTATGAAGTCATGGAAATTGCATTTGAAGAAATTTAAGTTTTTCTATGCTTTAAAATTTTTGTCCAAAAAAGAAAATAATATACAAAGATAAATAATCAGATTAGCTGAGATTCTGTGTAGCTCAAGAAGGTAATCGGTAATGAAAGCAAATCATTCTCTTTTTACATGTTTTTACATGTCTCTTTTATGTGCTTTTAAAATGTGGTTTGAACTTCTTTTATTTTTTTTCTTCATGTGGGAAATTGAATACTGGCAGGAGATCAGAAACCCTTAATGAAAAATATTGATGTTTCAGGTAGAAGTAATTGTCTTCCAGCTGACTATCTTGTGGACCTGTCATAGTATCACAACTCTGCTACAGTATGCCTTGACATCACACAGGGTGGGAACTCCATTTGGCATGTGCAGAAAGTCCCAGCAAGCACAATCCCGGGTACATCCTTGATTAAGATTGTGTTTAGTGAAACCTCCAGATTAAATGATCTGATTTAGATGTTAAAACTCAACACTAATTTTTTATGAACCAACAAATTTTGTTTGACTTCCTAAAACTTGACTAACAGAAAGTAATGGCAATGAATAGTTTTAAGGAGTACATAAAGAAATCTGCAGAGAAAAGAAAAACAGAAAATGGATAAATATAGTAAATTATATAAAACCACAGATGTTAAAACTATTAAAATATGAATATCTCACAACACATTTGGATCAGCCTTATTAAGAAAACTCAAAGGGTTTAGTAATAGAATTCACATATTAATGATAGTGACAGTAGGGGGTAATAAAGCATATAGTACAGACAAAAGATGGAGGATTTAAATTCCATTATATAAACTATCAAGGCAAAATTGGAAACATCCATCCATATTCTAACCGCTTTATGCAATACAGAATGGGTTGATGGTTTAGGGAAGTGAGGGTTTTAATTTACTGTGAAAATTCAAAATTGGAACTGTAAATTGCAAGAGGTCTTGACGACTGCTAAGAATCATTCAAACATCATAATTTACAGTCTCACATACAGATACTAAATTTACAACATATTGATATACTGATATAACACCAAAACATGCATAACAGACTGATGAGTAATGGAATTATTTATGACAATATCTGCTGTGATATGAAAGGTTGATCATTCATGTGGGGATTACAAGGAAAAGGCTTAATAACTTCAGAGTTAAAATAAAGAAAAAAAAATGTGTTATGGTCTAATTTGAAGGTTACCTCAATTTCATATAGTTAAATCACATTTATAATCCAAATAGAGGTAAATATGCATTTACTACTGTATTTACATGACAAACGTGTTGAGAACAGCAGTGTAATAGAAATTATAAAGTGAATACTTTTTTATACTCAAAGACCCGTTGGCCAAACATTCTTGATTAGTTCAAACTTGGGCTGGGTTCCACAATCTGACTTGGCAGCTGCTTGTTTTGTACCATGGACTAAGAGTGTCCAAAAAGAGAAAAGGAGAGAGCTTTGCTTTGCCGAAAACAGTTCTGCCAGAAAATCATGTGGCTCTGACTTCTGTCTTTAAAAACAGTCATCTTGGGTCTTAGTCTTACAGTAGTTTTCTTGTTTCGGTCTGGCCATAAGTGAGACACTGGAATTTATAATGGTACATCCTGTCAACAGATTGTTAGTGAATATACCTGGATATTCAGAATTTCAGAAGTCTGTCTAATTTCTCTGATCAGGCGAAAATAACTGGAGGTTCTCAAACACAAGATTTGTTTTGGAGAAAGAATATCATGAGTAGAATTCTGTACTTTACTGACTCACTCTCTTTGCCTTTTGGCTTGGAAAAAACATTCCCGAAAACAGTCCTGACAGCTCACAGTCATATGGATTGAAAAATCAGAAGGCCAAGTTAATTGGAGAGAGGACACAGCCAATGGGGTAATTAATGAAAATGAGTTGGGAGTTACAGTAGCTTTTATGGTGTACCATTACAGCTGGTGTTTAAGATGATATCAGTTATTGTTTTGGCACCTACCCTGCAAGTCCCTGTTTTGTGGATCTTTCTTTGGGTGATGTTCAGTGATATCTGACCCTTGTCTTCAGGAGAAAAAGACAACAGGAATGCTGCCCATGAGCACTAGATACCATTAAATAGTTCAGCACTGGACACAGCTTTATAATTCCTCTTATTAAAGGGGAATCCAAGCCACATTCCTCTAAATTTACAAAGAGGTCACAGTTTATTGCACAGTGGTTACCTGCCTTGCAGTGCTGTGGCACTGGGTTCAATTACATCCCTGGGTTGCTATCTGTTTGGAGTTTGTGTGTTCTCCCTATATTCATGTGGGTTTCCTCCCACAGTCAAACATGCTTGCAGGTTAACTGGCTTCTGTGAAAATTGGCCCTAGGTGTGAGTGTGCATGTCTGTGTGTCTTGCTTTGTGATGGACTGACATCCTATCCAGGCTGTACCCCACCTTCCACCCATTGTTTGCTGGGATAGGCTCTGGCTCCCCCACAACCCTGAATTTGAAGACGCCATTAGAATATGGATTAATGGATGGAATTTTAAGTGAAATTATATACCCTACTGCTACAATGGTAATCAATGCATTTTTATTAATTTTTATGACAGATGACAGAAAACAAAAAGGGATGCCAAGTTGCTCAGATTGAGATGGCTAACATTGATAATAAATGCTTTCTTGCTCAGTTAGTCAAATCACATTCAAGTTGGAATGTCTGTATTGTTCTATTGTTTTCAAATAAACCAGATAAAGTAAAGAAAACAGACAAAAGAACCATTAGGGAACTGTGCATCAGGAAATGACTCAGAATGCAATATGCTTTAAAAAATATTTTGAAACTGTGGGGTTCGGAAGAAAGACAACCTGCAACATGCAAAGGAAGTTTAGGAGAAGGTAGATTCGAGAGGATAAAATATGGAATCAGTAAAGACAACATTAGTTTAAAGATAGTTTAAACTTGTGGCATAGAAGTAACATACTGTAGAAAACTACTCAAATTATTGTATTAGTATAGGTATTGCAATACTAGTATTTCAAATATAGTAGGTAGAAAAACATATAAGATAGGTAATACAGCAATGTAAAATCTACTTATATAAGTGTTTATGCTGAATTTGATGATATAGTTAAGTGTACAATTTACAAATCACATGATATTGTTCAAATTTGCAATACAACAGAAAAGTTCCGTTTACTACTTTACTTTTCTGGAATCAGCCCAGAAAAGTGTGGCCATACACAGTTAAGTGTGTTCTACACTGACAGACAAAAAAAAGCCTGTTTAAACATTAACAAAGTAGACTCCAAGTAGACTTCTTTCAGCATCCTCAATGGCATTGACAAGGACAACCCAATCGACTTTGCCAGAATCAAAACAATCAAACGATTTAGATGGAGCAAATGTTCTTCTCTAATTTGTAACTCTTCTTATGTTGCAAGGACACACTTCTAGTTATTCATTCCTTGAGAATGACAAAATATTTTTTGCAGTATTTTCTACAGTATTTATTCTGTAGAGAAGTAAATGGGAAATGACAGAATTTTGAAAGACAGCATGTTTTATTGAAGCCCTTCCATTGTAAATCACTGCAGAAACATATTTACGAGTAGTTTCAATGTACCATTACATCCTACCATATGTACTGAAACAACCCTAGGGCTAGAAGTGTAGTTTTATATGTTTTTTTTCCAATAATAGCAATGTGAAGTACAACACTGTTGTTCTGTTTCCAATTTCTTTGTAATAATTTCTGTTCTGCAAAATTTATTTTTCTTGAAATTAATCAAGGCAACAAAGAAAAATCTAAAAAGAAACAGCAACAGAAAACTCAGTACTCATATAATGAACAGAGAAATATTACATGTAGTAAAATCAAAATATATGCCATGCTGTATATGACATTACGCACTTTTTAAAATAGAATTTATTCAGTAGCAAAATCAATCTTGACATGCTTTGATTTTTTTCTTTTTCAGATTTTTCTCTTGCTCCATCATCTTTAAAGGTGGACATTATGCTATCAACAGTCCAAGTTTTGATATGGTAAGTTCTCCATTCCTTTAACATTGGCAGAACTGGCTTTATAGTGAAAGTATCAAGACTGTAATAAAACATTTTTTTTATTTTAATTATCCACATTTCTAGACCCAAAACATATGACACAAAATTGGTTTATTCCATTACCTTATTTCCCCATTGATGTGCATGTGCTGAATGTACAAGATCAACTTACTATTTTAAGTAAAACACAATTAATTAGGAAAATAATGTGGGAGGAGTTTCTCCTCAAATTGATTTATGATGTCTTCCGTCCATCAACCATTTCATATCTAACTGTATTTAATGTTGAGAGTTATTTGTAAAGCCCCTGAATTCTTCCTGCATTCTGATAATTTTGAGAATTGTGGATTTCATTAATCAAAATATGATGGTGACTCCCTCATACCACCATAAGTAACTTACAGCTAAGACAGCTTAGTTGTAGTTTCACTTACAGCATATGTGCTATTTCACGGTCTCAATGAAATCTACACTTCAATTTTCGAGTGAAATTAACATTCTGAATATGTTGCTGTGTTTGGGACAGTATATTGGTGTGGTAAGTGCTGCTGCCTCAGAACTTGGCTGATGAGTTTGATTCAGAAATGTGTAGCTCTCTGTGTGGAGTTGGCATCTTCTGTCAGTGTTCATGTGGGGATTCTCTGGGTGCTCTAGTTTCCTCTATCCTCTAGCTAGGTTAGTTATTGTCTCTGAATGGGTCCTGTGATGGACTGGCACATCACCCAGTGTGGTGTCCCACTTTGCATTCTATAGTTTGTATCCTTCCAGGATGCTGTCCCTCACTAGGAACAAGCAGTACTCTGATATTGAATGGAATTGGAAACTCAATGGTGGCATGGTGGTGTAGTGGTCAGCTTTGCTGCATCACAGCACTGGGGCCCTGGTTTTAATTCCAGACCTGGGGTGAATTCTTCATGGAGTTTGTATGTTCTCTCTGTCTTTGCATCGGTTTGCTCTGGGTGCTCTGGTTTCCTCCCACAGTCCAAGACATACAGTACTTTTATGTTAACTGGCATCTGCTAAAACTGGCCCCAGTATGAGGTGAGTGTGTTTGTTTGTGTTTCATGTATGTACAATACCTGTAATGTACTGACATCCTGTCTTCATATATCCTGGCTTGCATCCGTTGCTTGAAGGGAAAGGCTCTGACTCCCCCACAACCCTGAATTAGATCAAATGGTTAGAAAATGTATGGAGAGAAGGTATTAGGTAATTAAGGTTTTAGGACTTCAGTTACAACTGAATGAGAGTTTACATGTTAGCCAAAAGTTTAAAAAGGAAAAGAGGATGAGGACAACTTATGAGGATATGAGGAAAAGAGGATGAGGATTCATGCAACTTACTGTATGTTAATAATAAATTTGCTGAATTGTCATACATTCTTGAAGCACAAGGGTAGAGTAGAGTCTAAAGTGTTTATCACTCAGTGGCCCATGTTGCACCAAATTCCCAAATGACTTCAGATATTGTGCATTGCTTTTGATTACAGAAATGGAAAGGGCTGCTTTTATAATAAAGTGGTACTTATCAGATTTAATTTATTGCAGTTTTTTGTGTTCATCCTCATAGGTTCCTCTAAATGGATTTGTTCAAAACAAAGCTTTTTTATTGATGTATTGATCTGTGCTTGGTAAATTATGTTTTTATTGGTTTTCCTTCCTGTTAAGAAAAAACAGATACAACTCTGGAGGATACCTTGTATGTTTCTCCTAAAGCTTAAATCGCAGAAATCAATGTGTAGCATTGCTAGACCTTTTCTGGAACACAAGTTCTTCGTTAATATGCTCGATATCTATAAAGCCAGACTTTTTTGTGTTAGTTAATATACTCAGAAAAAATGCCTTCAGCAGAAAAAGGATTCCTGTGTTTGCAGTACACTCCAGGAATTAAAATAAATATCCAGAAAGAAGAAAGTTGTCTTTCAGAAACAATAATGCATATGCATTGGGAAAAAATCTGGGACTAAATTTAGACCAAAGTAGCAAGAAGATTGACTCTCAGAAGGAAGATGTTCCAGTCTTCATATTTGCTGCAGAATAATGAAATAAAACCACATCAAACTCTGCTCTAAAAAAAACAGGATCTGCACTTTGCTCACAGTGTAATTTAATGCAGTTTTATTTTATGTTTCTAAAGGATTTCATTTGTTGTTGTCATTTAAGCATCTGAATTGATATACTTTCATCCAAAACATTAAATTTAAATTAAAGTGATTCCTTTCATATTATGTTGCTTAATAAAGGAAATTAACCAACAGTTTTTTCGGCGGCTTATTCAAGCTTTACATAAAAATGAATTGATTTAGATCAGTTATCTTTAATATATTTTTTATCACTTTAGACTCGGAATTGTTAGTAGGAAAATGCATGAAGCTACGGTTAGGGTAGCGATAGAAAGGTAATCCCTTTTATAACTGTTTATAACAATAGTAAAAATATCAAATAAATGTTTACATTCCATACAAAGTTATGGCATAACCTAAACCCAAACTAAAATGTGACCATCATTTTGTTATGAATAGCTTGGTCACACTTTACATTTCATTGCATAAATTAAGCTTAAATTGGATATGTACAGTATCTGTTACTATAAATTGAGGTCCTACAGAATTTTAATTCCACATCTGTGTTCAATGTCTTCCTCAGATCAAGATTATATTGAATGAAAGAAATGGCACAGGAATGAAATGTATTTAAATATTATATGCATAATATGTATCCAAGATGTAAGATGTTAATTATGAATGTGCTGTATACAATAGAATATACCGTAGTCTTCTTTGGTTCAGGTGGGTAGCTGCGTCAGCATGCGTAGACTGCAAAGGAACAATAGGTTTATTCCATGCTGAAAAGAGAGGAAAGAAAACACAACATTTTGGCTGTGGAGGCTTCTTTGGGTGTCAGCCTTTGCATGCTAACGCAGCTACCCACCTGAGCTACTTCAACCTACTGTACTGTAATTCTGCTGCCACCCACTATGCCTTCCTCTAAATCTTTTTCTAGATCTCTTCGTCGCTCCTTCTCTTCCTCCCTGGGCTACTTGCCCCCCCTCTTACTAAACCAGCATTCCAAGTCTTCACAGTGATTCGTTCCAAGACCAGGCTTTCTCACCACCTCCTATTCCTTAACAGATGTCGTTGAAATATAATTCCTAAAGGATTTCACCTGAAATGTAACACTTTTTCTTTTGATTCTGACACCACCCAGAGTAATGCTCAAAGACTTCTACAACAATTTTCTGGGGCTTATACCCGAAGAAGGCTCCACAGCCAAAACTTTATTCTGTATCTTATTATTATTATTATTATTATTATTATTATTATTATTATTTGGAGGCTGTATTGTCATGATGTATTGAAATTTGGCAAGTGTGCTGAACATGTGCTGCAATAGACTCTAAAATCAGTGACTGCACTTTTTTCGAAATTGGTTAAATCTTACAGGTAGCAGTCACTATTGCCCAGATGTAAGCATTTATTTCACAATTCAGATATGAAATTGATGATGTGTGCCACAGAAAATAACCCAGCTGTGACTAGCATAGTAATTATTATACTTATATCAAGGCAGCAAAGTTTTTGAACATATCAATAGTTAAGCAATACATCAATGATAATATAAGGAAAATAAAACACAAAACAAGCATGATACGTACGCTACATTTTACTGTAGATGTTCAGTTGTATTGTGCCCCTGGTACAACATAAGCTCATTGCTAGATTTTTAATATTTTTAAATTTCATTTGCTGCCACTAGAGTGTTTGAAAATTATGGCTTGACTTAAAAATTGGACTTACTGTATAGACTTAATTGATTTAAACAAAGGACAAATTCTTAAATCTATGAAAATCTATTAAAATCAATCACCAAAATGATATACAAAAGAGGCAAACATTTTTAACCACTTAGGAATAAGTGCATATTCACTGGACAGATTAAACTTTCATTATAAAATTAGAAAATTGCAGTTAGGCATTATACTGTTTGTCATTCTCGTTAAACATGTTTTTAGAGCACAGTTCCTTACAACATTAATTCCATTTTGTTCTGTGATTTGATTAATTCACAGGTCTTTGTTCATCAATATAATATTTATATTATAAATTCTCCTTTACAGTTTCCATTTGGTATATACACATTATAGCAGAAAATATATGCAATACTATTCACAATTTTACATTGTTAAATGCTAATTAACTTGTAGCAGAGTTGGAAATAGTGTCTGTGTGCAGAAGCCTGCTCTAAACTGAGCTTTTAACTAAAACATTTAGGCACATTGCCAAATCAACATTTAAGTAGGAATCACTTAAATTTTCAATGGATAAACAGTTAGGCATCTGGCCAAATCAGTTCTATTTCATGACCATAATTTGTGAGATTGCATCAGCCTTTTCTTATGTATTGAATCAATCAAATACAAGTTTCTAGTAAATATGTATTCCTGTGAAGCAAAATGCAGTACTCCTTTTACAGAATATCTTATATACAGTATTTGCAAGGCACTCTATCCCTAACCTAGATATCATGTCATGATATACCATATATCTTTATACCATATGGCTTTATACCATACGGTGTCGCGGGAAGCCGGAGCCTACTTGGCAAGCAACGAGAGCAAGGCAGGGTACACCCTGGACAGGGTGCCAGTCCATCGCAGGGCAAGTGAAAGGCAATCATACATGGGGACAATTCGGAGGCCAAGGTAAAGGCCGAGGAGGGAAATTTGACCCAGACACTGAGATAACTCCCTGCTCTTATCAAGAAATGCCCAGGGATCTTTAATGACCACTGAGAGTCAGGACCTTGGTTTAACATCTCATTCAAAAGACAGCAAACCCACTGCAGTGTAGTGTCCCCACCACCATACTGGGCCATTAGGACCCACACAGACCACACGGCTGGCACCCACTGCTGGTCCCACTAACACCACTTCTAGCAGCAACCATAGCTTCCCAGGAGGTCTCCCAACCAGTTACTTACCAG